GTGTACACACACCTGGACAAGGACCTGCACACAGGCCTTCAATGAAGACCAAGGCCCCAGTTGGACTTCTGGTCTGCCCCGCTCCTTTCTCTTACTCCATACCTCTCTCTTCTCAGTGTCCAGCCACTCTTACCTTCCTTCAGTTCCCCAGTCATACCACGGTTTGTCTCTTCTGTCACTAGCGCACACACTCCCGCATACCACAGGACAGGGCCTTTGCACATGATCCTCCTCTGCTTGGAATAATTTTTCCCTGGCCCATTCCTCTGGTGTTTCCAGCCATGTCTAGCAGCATCATAGTGGGGGGCCTGAGTGTCAGCCCTGGGGACCTGTGAACAGTTCTAGGTCAGGGAACAATGTGGTCATCCAACTCTTGACCTTTGCGTCTGGGCTGACTGTCATCAGGTTCCTGGTTCCATTCTGAGACTAGGGGAGTCCTTGGATATCTGGCAAAATTCAGATTAGAGTCAGAGAGAGTTGGCCTGCCTTGGTAAAAGCCAAGAAGCTGGCAGAGTAGGTGGAACTGCCCTGGGGTCCCATTTGGACCATGGCCAGGCTCCTGCTCACAGGCCTTTCTACATCTGTGCACACCCATCCCATGCAGTTCCGCCACCCTGAGCACCCACACCCCAAATGTGGCTGAACCTACAGAGCTGCCAGTAGAATTCTGAGTGGGGCCTTCTGCTTATCTGCTTCTGGTGATCTGAAAGAAGACAGTGCAATTCCTGCATTTCATGGTTTGGATTTGGCTGTGAACGGTAGATGCTTGTGGGTCTGTGTCTCTTTTGATCAAAGCTCCGTATATTTGTCTTTGCTGGCTGATGAAAGAGCTTAACAGTTTTATGTGTTACGTATTTTTTGTTGGATTATGTGTCTTCTCATGAGAGTGTGATCTGAAAGAAGACAGTGTCTCAAGCAGGGGATGGTGATCATTGGTCACCATCTCCTGCAGACAACAGACTTGGTCCCAACTCACGGGGTCATTGCTGGCCCAGGTTTCTCCTATCCGCCCACAGTGCCCTGTGGTTGTTGATGCACACTGATCAAAGACAGCATATCCAGCCCTTGGCTAGGGGCTTCCAGACAGTGGCATTTCAGTCCCTGGGCTGCTAGCCCAGTACCCCCAACCTGCCCTCCTGATTCCCTAACTTTGGGGTCACAGAGCACAGATACCTCAAAGCCAGATCACGCAGAGCAGTTTCTCCGCCTGCCGCTCAGCACTTGAAGGCTGGGTGGGCACAATTCACCCTACTTGAGACCTGGCCAGGGCAGGGCATGTCCAGTTCCCAGGATGGATCAAGGTGACAGGGAGCTGGGGGTAGGAGGGGGCGGGGTACCTCCTGGTGCCAGGCCTTGCACAGGTGCCCTGCCCATATGGACCTGCCCAGAGCGCCCTCTGCTGGTGGGGTTAAGCCAAGATAGGATATGATCTCTGCACTTTTTTAAAAGTCGGGGTCTCTGTCACGCAGCCTGGAGTACAGTGGCATGATCACAACAACCACGACTCACAACAGCCTCAACCTCTTGGGCACAGGTGCTCCTTCTGCCTCAGCATCTCGAGTATCTGGGACTACAGGCATGCACCACCACACCGGGCTGATATTTTGATATGACCTCCATGTTTTTAAGGAAATCTCAGCCTGGCAGGAGATACCAGAGAAAGGGAGGGCATCCCGCTGGCAAGGGAGGCAGCATGTGTGAGCTGACCTGTGAAGAACAGGCAGACTTCTGGTACAGAAGCCAAGCACGAGGTGCCACAGACACGGAGCTTCTGAGAAGCAGTCTTAGGAGAGGTCGGAGGTGACAGGGCGAGCCCTGCTGAGCACAACTTGTGCTGGGCCTGGCACACTCCAAGACCCTCATTGTGAGAGGGTGGCATTGAGAGAAACTAAAGCAGGTGATCATGCGCTACACCTGAGGAAGTGGCAGCATCTCGGCCTGTTCAGAGGCAGCTCTGCATCAAGGTAGCAGGTGCCCCTTGACCCCTAGGCATCGCAGCTCTCGGGATCCCATGTCACCTGCCTGGACCAGACCTTATCCCAAGGGTGGGGTCAATGCTGGGTGTCTCCAGGGCAACTGGGAGCCTACTTTTCTCAGGCAGTAGCAAACAGCATGGGAGGCTCCTTCAGGAGGAACCTGTTCTTCTAGGTGATCTTTGTTCCTATCACTGACCAGCTGAAGGAGAATCAGCTAGGGCCTTGTGCCTCAGATTTTAAAACACCAAGTTGAGAAAAACAGTGATAACCACAGGAGACACCCCTGCCAGGTTGGACACTTGGCAGAGGGAGGATGTTGGCTTCCTTCTGGAATGGTGGCACTGGTGGAGAGGCCCCCAGGTCCACAGATAGCTGTCAGGGTAAAGGAAGATGTCCCGGGCAGCAGGCTGAGGGCTTTGGATGCTTTTCACACACCTGAGGGGCTCTTGGGTCATTAGCAGGGACAAGGGAGTAACCACAGGATCCCTGTCCTACATGCACTGAGGTTCCAAGGCAGAGTAGGGCAAGTCACAGGTGTGATGAGAGGCAGGCCCTTGTTAATGTTGTGATGCTTGTTGACAAACCTTTCTTCTGACAAATGTTCATTGAAGGAAATCTAGGAAATGTGGCAAAATGCAAAAAAGCAAAAAATCTCTTGCGATTCCACAACGCGGAACTACTGCTACTGGGAGAATGACCTCCCAGACCTCTGCTTGCATGGCATGTGCATGTGTGTCCTTGTGTATGCTGCACATGTTACACAAATGTCATCCTTCAGCAGCACTCTGCCAGCCTTGTTGGGATTGTGCTGACTGACCATTTAATCACTGCTCTCTTGGCAGAGGTGTTTCTAGGGTGTTCCCTGGTGTATCTCTCATCCACAGCTGCCCAGCAGGTGGGACTGCAGAGAAGCAGGAACAATCCTTAATCTCTCCAAGTCTGATTTCTTCCTTCCCTCCTTCCACCCACCGGCACTTAGTGAGCACCTGCTGTGTGCCCAACACTGTTCTGCTCCAGGTGGGGAGACCAGGACAGGGCTTCCTCACTGGCATTCTGGTCAGGTGGAGGCAGCATCAGCACACAAGGTCATGTAGGTCACATGTTAGCTGAGGGCTGCTGTAGGGGGAACGGATGGAGTCAATGCACTGCTCACAGTGACAGGGACTGTGGGGCAGTGACTGTCACTGGCTGGCACTTGCTGAGTACCAGGCTCATGCTAGATGCTTTACTCCACAGATACCTGTGGCTGTTGAGGGACAGGCTCTGCGACCTCAGTAACATGCCCAAGGCCATCAACTGGTGAGAGTCAAGCAGGGCTACCAGGGGCCATGTGAAGAGTGAGATCACCCTGAGTGCAATGGGGAAACATCAAGGTTTGACCAAGGGAGACAGATGGCATCAGAGGTGCTCATGTAGCCCCTGGCATTCGGGGGCAGGTGGACCTGGATAATGGGGAGGGTACAGGATGCTACTACCAGGGGAGGCCAGAACCTCACTCAGGGAAAGGATGGCTGACCCGGGCCTGCTTCAGAGCAGGATCATTGGGACTAGTGGTCAAGGTCCACAAGGGTAAGGGACAGGGAGGGGAATGGATGATAGCTGGGAGGGCAAAGTGCCATTTCCTGAGGGTGCTGGAGCAGACGCCAGTATGGCAGGTTGAGTTTCTGATGCTGGTTTCCTGAGGGTGCTGGAGCAGACGCCAGTATGGCAGGTTGAGTTTCTGATGCTGGTTACGCCTAGGAGTGGGGCAAGAGGTCATGTCTGTTGGGGTCTGCCTGCCCCAGGCCTTCCCACTCCAGGGCCTGCTGTGGAGTTGGCTGGGGCTTTATAGGGCTAAACACTGGCCATGGCAGGATGGGGAGACTGTGGGGACTGCTGGAAAGGGAGATCAACAGAAGGAGCAAGAGGGGCATGTGTGAGTAGAGTGGGGGCAGACCCTGGGCTCCTGATCAGGTGCAGAAACCTGAGCTTTGGGGCTGTCCCTGGTGTGGGGGGCCTGGCCCAGCAGGTCATGGAGGTGTCCTAGGGTGTGCCCCTCTCCCTGTTGGTCATCAGCTGGTCAGTGGGGAGCGTGGATACTGGGTTCTACCCCTCAGGAGCAAGCACAGTTCTTCCTCTTTGATGGGACATCAAGTTGGTGAAAGATTTGACCTGGGGCTGCAGAGCCTCTGGGCCACCCCTCCTTGCCCTGAACTCAGTGGTTACCACAGTCTTGACTTTACCACAGTGCCCTGTGCTGGCCCCATCCCCCCTCCTCAGCCAAAACCTCCCTTTACCTTATCCCACAGCAGTGAGGCTGCCCTTGCCCACTCTGCGCCTGTCCCCACGGTGCTTCCACAAGGCTTCCTTCTCTTGCTCCAGTTCGTCTGTCTGCATACACCTGGGGCTGGCCCAGCAGAGCACTCTCAAAGTAAGGCAAGCCCGGGCCTCCTTCCTGGCACAGGTCCTGCCCTGTGAGCAGTAGTGACCCAGCTCCTACTAGGGGTGGTAAGAGTCAGGGAAGTACCCAGTTATCCCCAACTTGAACATTAGGGGAGCCTGGGCCTCCTTCAGGCAGGGCCAAGGCCAAGACCCTCTGTAAAACAGGACAAGACCAAGTTCTATCAGGGCCTTCCAAGAAGAGGTTCCAAGGCATCACAGTGGGGTCACCTCATTTAATCCTAGACACAGAGCTGAGGATCAAGGAGGGAGAGGCCAGCTAGGTCCAGTGGGCAGGGAGGGGTGGTGGAGGTGAGGCTAGCATGGGCTCAGGGGGTTGGGCGGAGGTCTCACACACACCCTTCTCCTCCCTCTCAGGCACCTGGCTTCCTTGGGCGGCAGCAAGCATGTGTGTTGCGCCGCAATGTGGACATTAACTAACCCTGCAGCACTCCACGGAGGACAGGGGGCTGGATGGATTGGCCCCGCCCGGATTCCGAGGCTGGCCCCTGCTGCTCTGCTTTTTGCCATCCAGAAGGGCTCCCTTTCCCTGTCCCACCTGAGGTGGACTGCCAGGAAGAGGAGGCTCACACTGTTCTCTGTTTGGCAGGTGAAGGGCCGGATGCACAGCCAGAGCCAGAGCAGCCCAAGGCAGGGGGGCCACAGGGAGCGCAGGCAGCACCAGCAACCAGCCCTCCAGCCGCGCTTAGCAGCATCGCCACAGCAACCAGCAACCAGACGGCAGCAGCCCAGGCAGACGCAAGAGGACGGCTTCCCACCGTCGGCCAAGGACAGGGAATGACTACGGCAAATCAGGCCACACTGCCAATAGGGGAGGTGGAGTGTCACTAGAGGGAAGGGGTGGCACCGCCCACCACACAACGCCATGCCAACAGGAGAAGAGGCGCTGGGACAGGGGCTGCAGCGTGGCTTGGCCTTGCCCTGCTGCTGACACCGAGCACTTCCCAGGCAGCTGGGCTCTTGTCTGCTGGGTGCACCACCTCATTCCAGCATCCCTCACTGCAGCTCTCCCACCAGTGGCCAGGCAGAACGGGCGACGGGGAGAGGAGCTCGTCCTGTGCTCCGTGTCGGGGCCTGCTGCTGCTGGACCATGGGATGTCGGCAAAGCTCAGAGGAGAAAGAGGCGGCGCGGCGGTCCCGGAGAATCGACCGCCACCTGCGCTCAGAGAGCCAGCGGCAGCGCCGCGAGATCAAGCTGCTCCTGCTGGGCACTAGCAACTCAGGCAAGAGCACCATTGTCAAGCAGATGAAGATCATCCACAGTGGTGGCTTCAACTTGGAGGCCTGCAAGGAGTACAAGCCCCTCATCATCTACAACGCCATCGACTCGCTGACCCGCATCATCCGGGCCCTGGCCGCCCTCAGGATTGACTTCCACAACCCTGACCGCGCCTATGATGCCGTACAGCTTTTTGCGCTGACTGGCCCAGCTGAGAGCAAGGGAGAGATCACACCTGAGCTGCTGGGCGTCATGCGGCGGCTGTGGGCCGACTCAGGGGCTCAGGCCTGCTTCGGCCGCTCCAATGAGTACCACCTGGAGGACAACGCAGCCTACTACCTGAACGACCTGGAGCGTATCGCTGCACCTGACTACATCCCCACTGTGGAGGACATCCTGCGCTCCCGGGACATGACCACGGGCATCGTGGAAAACAAGTTCACCTTCAAGGAGCTCACTTTCAAGATGGTGGACGTGGGTGGGCAGAGGTCAGAGCGCAAAAAGTGGATCCACTGCTTCGAGGGTGTCACAGCCATCATCTTCTGCGTGGAGCTCAGTGGCTATGACCTGAAGCTCTATGAGGATAACCAGACGGTGAGTGGGGCCCAGAGTTTTCCTCTGTTTGTTCCTTCTGTTGCGAGCTCCTGGAAGCAGGAGGACTCATGGGGGCCAGGAGAGGCTGCAGCCAGAAGGGGACCTGGGCACAGGCCTGGTCCTGCTGCATGATGCCCAAGGAGGCTTCAGCAAGGTGGAGGCGGGTGGGCCCATCCCTCAAACTGTGTTGAGGGATGTGGATGCCACAGGACCTTGGTGTCACACCTGCTGCAGGGGCATCAGCCCCAGACAGCCCTCGGGCAGGGCCATGCTACCCTCTCACAAATTCATTGTAAAATCAGCTCTTCACAGCTGCCCAGTTTGGGGACCCTGCTCTGACTTAGATGACCATGCCCTGAAAGTTCTTTGGAGCTCAACACCTGCAAGGGACCACCATGCCCCTAGGCTCCGTGGAGGGAAGACTGACTCATCAGGTAGGGACGTCCATGAGCCATGGTCACCTTACCCTGGCTGCAGATGGCACCCTCGTGGTGCTTGCAGGCCCTGGTGCCTGGGTCCCCCAAGCACTCAGGGTATGGAGGCTACAGGACAAGGCGTGGCCAGGCATCTATGATTGGACCATGTGGCAGTTTGACAAATCCATGAAGCTTCTGCCAGCACTGGTCTCACCCCGCATGCAGATCCTGAGAACAACAGCCACACCTACAACCCCATCTTGATCTCAAGAGTCTGGCGTTTTGGAAATTATAACCCTAGGGCTACCAGGACTTGAGCTTAGGGTCCTGGTGGTGAAGGACTAGTGTAGGGCAGGTGTTAGGGTTCTTTCAAGCTCTCGGCCCAGGTTGAGGCAACTGTGTGGGGAGGAAAGCTCAAAGCCATGTGAGGGGGAGGATCCTAGTGCTGAGAGAGTTGCTGGAAAGGATAGGGAGCCAGGGCTCTTGCAACTGAGGCGGGAGGCCTAGCCCATGGGGAGCGGCAAGAACCAGAATCGGCAGCTGCAAGGCCAAGACTTTGAGCCCAGCACTGGGGGTGGATGAGTGGGAGTGACAGGGAGTCTTCTGAGGAGCTGGGAGTGAGTGAGGCTGTTGGTGTCCCAGGCTCAGGGCAGGTGGAGCTGCCCATGAGAGGCCTGTGAATGAACATGGAGCCTCCACCATGCTGGGACTCTACTCTGGAGTGCTAGCATCAGGGTTGCTCCTTCCTTTACCTGTCCTGAGGCAAGCTTTATTATCTGGGTTCAGCCAAGGTTCCAACTCTGGGCCTGCATCTCCCAAGCAGCCTAGACAGCAGCAGGCTGTGGCTACAGCGCCAGGAGCCTGAGTGTTCTGGGGAGAAAGAAGGTCTGTTGCTTTCATCAGGCAACTATGGAGGCACAAGGCAAGAGCATCAGGGTGGGGGGGGGTCTCCCTGGAACTGTGCCCTAGAGTTGATGGGATAATGGATGGGCTACACTCAGATGCTGTGTCCTCAGGAGACAGAACAAGCCTACAGCCAGCTGCATCCACCCTGCTCCCAGCACATGTCTGGGAGTGGTCTCCAGGGGTTTGCTCCCTCTTGCCCTCTGGCTGCCTTCATTTCAGCACTATGTGTGGTTCTGGGAAGAGGGTCTCTTCTGTGGGCAGAAGGCTTGGGGCTGACAGGTTGTGAGGCAAAGTGCAGTACGCAGGCCAGGCCCCAAGGACAGTCACACAGGCATGGAAACTCGGTCAGCAGTCAGCTCTCTGGGCTTCTGCCCATTTCTGTGTGCCCTGAGGCTAGTGAGTCCTGTGCTCTGAGGCCTTCCCAGCCCAGATCTGGTGGCTGCCTCATCCATCAACTCCAGGGCAGGTGTGATGAATTTTCTCGGCACCAGACCTGGTTCCCAGACCTATCCTTTGGCAGGTTGTGCCCACAGGTGTGCTGGAACCAGGAGGCAGGACACCTGGACCCTGAGTTGGTCCCATGTTTCGTGGAGGGTTTTGGCTGTCACCTCCGCTCTCTGAACCTGTCAACGAGGTGACCAGGTGGCCTCAAAGGCAGGCCCAAGGCCAGGCTTGCACCTATCCACCACCCTCCCAGTTTCGCCTGGCCCATGACCGCCACCTTGTTGCCTCCTCTTCCCTTCCTCTGCTCCAGTCACAGTCAACTTGTTTAGCTCCCACAGGATTGCTCTGCTCTACCTTAAGCTTGTGATAGTCTTATTTCTGCCCCTTATCTCCCTGACCTAGCCTGGCACCCACATGCCCTTCCATCAAGTGATATGCAAGTGAGCTTCTAGGGCAGGCTGGGGGGGCCTCACATCTCTGGTTTTTCTTCTCCCAGGCCTGTCCCTGTGGAGAGCCATGGTGGGCAGGGACAGTAGCTGCTGGCCTGGCCATGGGGACCTCTGTGAGGCTCCAGGACATTCAGGGTATTCTCTAAAGGGAGGGGCTGACAGCCAGGCTAGCACCCCTACCACCATCACTCTGGCCTCTGCAGGCCTGAGGAAGTGGTTATTCATCAGAAAAGGAAATGCTTGATGAGAAACCCAAGTGAGGCTGGAAATTCACTGGATTCCAAATGATTCTGACCTTTCATGCTCTACCAGTAATATCTGGGGATGGAAAACAAACAGGCTGCAAGGAAAGACAATACCCTCCTGTGATTTCTCCCGCCAGCTGGGCTGGCCCTGGAGGTGGGCTGGCCACCAGGGTGGTGTCAGCAGTGAGGACAGTCTGCCTCCAGCCAGCCAGGGCCAGTGCCAGCACAGAAGCTAGTACAGAGCTGCCACCCTCTGCCGTCTCCTTGTGGAATGACTGAACTCCCTGGGCCCTGTCAGAGGCAAGTCAGCTAAGAACAGGCCATGCTAGTTTTTGCAAAAGCCGAATGAACCTTGAGGCCTAATGCCAGGGCTCTGGCCACAACTCCTCCAGAGCCTTCCTTCCTTGTCAGCTCCCAAGGCCTCATCTTTCCTGATGGAAGATGGCAGTGCCCCCCCCCCCCATGCCTGGCAAAGCAGCCACAGCCCCCAAGCCCACCCGCTGGCTTCTGCGTCAGCACGTTGCCAAGGGGAACATCAGCATCTCTGGGCTCCCAGGCATGAGGGCTACAGTGAACACAGGGCAGCACCTCAGAGAGAGGAAGGCAGATTCCGGGTGTTTATGGACCATGGCAGTGAGCAGAGACAAGGAGCCACACCCATCCTTGGCCCTGATTCTTGCCCTTGTCCAGTAGGATTGGTTGAATCCTTGGCCTGACTAGGGCCCCACTCTGTAGTCCTGGCAGGCACCCAAGTACTCCAAAGCCCACCTCTGCAGGCAGCATGGGAAGCCTGCTGGGTGGCAGTAGTGCCTGTTACTTATGCCAGCGGTGGGAGCGCCATGGCACTGACATAGGGGTGGCACTGGCATAGGGGTGATGCTGGTTGGCCACCCACACCCATCAAGTCCACTCACACAAGGATAGCCTCTGAGGAGCCAGAGGACCCTCTGTGGGCCCCTCACTGGACCGAGTCCAGGGCAGAGGCTCTGCCCCTCCTCTTTATGCATTTATACAAGGGTCAGTTGACAGACAGTCACCCTGCAGCCTCAGGAGGCCTGTGGAAAAGGCCAAGTAGAGAAACTGCACCCACCAGCTCACAGCTGGCTGGCTGTGACCAGCAGGGTCTGGGTCCTCACTCTGCCATGTTGGAAGCACCTTAGGCATCAGGACACTTTGGGAAGTATGGGAGCAGGCACTTGCTGCCCAACCTCTGCCCTTGTGGGTCAGCTAATGGACTCTGCTTAATGGTGAGGGATCCTTCCGAAGGCATAGATTAAAAGGCTGGTTGTAAAGTGTCAAATGTTCTCATGTGGAAACCTACAGGGAGCTCACTGCCCATTTCCCAACTGAGCTGTCAGCATTCCCAGTCCCATGGCGGGCCTATTGTGTGCCTGCTGAGGACCTGCTGTGCAGGCACAAGGCCCAGGCCCAGCGGGTGTGAAGGGAGTCCGACACTCCCTGCTGCACAAGAAGCTGGGGGCAGGGAGGCAGTCACACCAGCACAACCACAGTTTCGTTTCCACAAACCCCATACTGCCAGGGACACCTGCCCTCTTGTTCCAGAGCTGGTAGGCAACAGTTCCCAGGGGTGTCACCATTTTGTTTTCATCTAAGACCTATAGTGGCCACTTGGATCTTTCAGGGGGGCAAGTTCTACAGGTGGTAGATGCTTCAGCAGCCAGACTCCAGGCAGGTAGCCTCTGTCTAGCCCTGGCCAATGGCTCCTTTTCCTGGGCCTATGGCTCCCTGGGGAGCTCATCTCCACCCCCAGGCAGGTCAACAGTCCTAGCACCCCGTGAGGGCAGGCCTGTACCTCCCTTCCACCGCCTGTGCTGCAGGTAGAGAGCTTGGTGCACAGTAAGTGCCCTGCAGGCTTTATGGAGTTGGCATGGAGCAGGCAGGTTTGGGAAGGACTAAAGTTCCAGAGCCATGGCTTCTGGGTACAGAGGCACTGGGACACTCAGCCCTTCTGGAGGAAGTCCTGCAGGTGCTGGTCCCTAATGGGGATGCATGTAGTACCCTAAAGAGGGGGTCACCGAGGCTGTCCTGTGAACACAATGTATACTCATCACCTAGCACTGTGGCTTGTCATTTAGCCTGAAAAGTGACATTGTTTCGTGTTTTAAACATGGAGTTTAAACAGTTTTGTTATAAGATGCCACGCTGAGGGTGCCAAAAGGCATTTGCAGTAAGACAAGCTTTTACTTTATGATGGAGCTGCTTATATTTGTCCAGAGGAGAGAATTACAAATGAGAAACAGATGGGCATGGATGATACCCCTTTTCCCAGCATATTAGGGCTTAGACTTGGCAGAGACCTTACATATCCTTTAGCATCCTTAACCAGTCAGTTTTACAGATGAGGAAACTGAGGCTCAGAGAGGTTCCATCACATATCCCAGAACTGGATCTCTCTGGCTCTCAAGGAGGGCCCTGGCACTGGCCTCTGGGGATTCCAGTGGTTCCCTCCTGACCCGACTGTCCTCTCATGTTGTAGGTAACAGCTGGGCTCTGGAGGTGTGAGTGGCTATCAGGGTTGG